ACCTGTCCATCTCCCCCCAGGGGGGGAACTCTGGGCGACTCACAACAAACATTAAAAACATAAATATATATAAATACATAAAACATCAGTTAAAAGCATTACTAAAAATATTCCTGCATGTTGGAAAGATGCCACCTCCAAAGGAGCTTGGTGCAACCACCTTTGGCTGGTGCATTATCAGTGCACCCCGGTGCATCAGGAAGTCAGAGGGGTGGGAGCGGGCAAGGAGAGGAAGCTCCCTCCCGCAGAGCCTCCATACCTCAGTAACGGCAAAGACCCTTTTCCCGCAGGGCACCATCTTGTACCATTTGTCGTGCAGGAGGTCCATGAAGCCGGCCGACTTGTAGCGGCTGATGAACTCGGAGATGTTGGAGGTCAGAGGCGAGTTCTGAGGAAGGCCGATGCCGTAGCCTGGCACAGTCCAAGAGATTGGGAGGGGTGCAAAAGAGGAGAAACCCTTTACTCGGAGTGGAACAGCCGAGAGACGGAGCACGTGCAGAAAGCCCCCCCATTAGCCACAGACACAGGAAGAGATTTTGCTGATTTTTGCTGCCCCATGCTATCGACTGCGGATAGATCAGCATTATTTTAACTCAGGAAGTCCAGGGGGTCAAAACGGTCAAAATGGGGGCCATGGCCACATAATCAAAGCCACCGTACTGACTTTTTTTGACACACACATGTGCACACACACACTGCAGATGCCCCTATTTTTACTGTCAGGTTTCTCAATACAAAGTGAAATATTTCATCAGCCAATGCATAATTACCTTTTGGAGCCCCCTGGGGAAGAACTAAAAAAAAATAAAAGTCACATTCTCCATGGAAGAAGGAGAAACCTTTGTGCATCTTCCAAGCTTTAATATTTCACAGATTCACTTAAAGACAGAAGATTCCTGTTTTGAACAGAATGAGTCGATCTGGACTAAAGCCTCATTTGGCTACTGAATCCCTTCCTTGCTCTGCCTCCAGATGCTTCCCCCCAATCCAGATATTTTTGCCATACCTTCAATAGCAAAAGGCTTCCCAACTGTTAAGAGTTTGCAGTCTGAATCAATGGAGACCTCATAATCGAGCAAGGATTTATCCATGATGAAGGCATTCAGCTTTGGGGGGCTGGTCCTGGTGAGAAGAAGCAAGTTGCTGTCAAGTTGGGCAGCATAAATTGAGTCTGCAGGTAGTCCTTATTTAGTGACTGCCTTGGACAGCAACTGTTTGCAGTTATGACAGTGCTGAAAAAGTAACTTTGCGACCAATGCCTGCATTTATGACCATCACAGCATCTCTCTCTCAGTCACATGCTTGCCATTACAGGTAGTCCTCAACTTACAACGGTAGTTGGGATAGGAATTTCTGTTGCTAAGTGATGCAGTAGTAAAGCGCAATGTCATGTGACTGCATTGCTTAGCGACCGCAATCCCTGCAGTCCCCATTGCCATTGTTAAGTGAGAATCGTGGGTCATTAGCCGAGCGCCTTTTTGCAACTTCCTGCCGGCTTCCAACAACCAAAGTCAGTGGAGGAGCCGGCAGGAAGTTGCAAAGGAAGTGGCTGCTGCCAGGTGGGAGAGGGAGTGAGGGGTTGTGCTGGTTGGGAAGGTGCAGGGTGAGTGCAGCGGGGCTTGGTGGCTGCTGCCAGGTGGAAGAGGTTGCGTGAGTGTGTGCGAGTGGCAGGGGGGGCATTGCACCAGCGAGGCGGGGGCTTGGGGGGCAACCGCCAGGCGGGGGGGGGGGGGGG